AGAAATGATGGCGACTTGAACCTGGAAGGGAGTGGTAGTGAGGGGATAAGTGGTCAGATTCCAATATGCTGCTCTGACGTGGTCGAATGGGCAAGGGGGAGGAAGAGAGGAGTCAGGCCAAGTCTGAGGCTTTTGTCTGGAGGGATGGAGCCGACGTTAACTGAGGTGGGTAAGACTGTGAGAAGCGCGGGGTGGAAGGGCAGTTCATCAGGTCGTTATTAGACAAGCCAGTGGAGGTGCAAGAAGGTAGCTGGATATATGATTCCGGAGTTCAGGGGCGGGGTTTGGGCTGGAGATAAATTTAGGAGTCATCTGCGGGAGTTTGATGAGGTCACCATCATATGGATAGAAAATAGAAAAAAGAAGCAGTCCAAGGAGGGAGCCAGGATAGAGAGAAGAGACCTTAACCCAAGGAAGCTCTAGGGAGCGGTGTGAAGTAGCACAAGAAGCAGGAAAGCACCATGACCAGAGAAAGCAAGTGAGGACAAGGGAGGGACCAACTGGGTCAAGCTCTGCTGCTTGTCCTGAGTCATGTATGGAGAGCCCCAAGATCTCCCCAGTACATCCTACAAAGTGAGAGTAACTGGGGACTTTGAAAAGAGCAGTTCTGGTGACCTGGTGGAGGGGAACGTGGATTAGAATAGATTCAGTAGGTTGAGGAGGACAGGAATTGGAGAGACCGAATATAAACAACTGTTAGAAGGGGTTTTGTAAGGTGAGCAGAGAAATGTGGGGGTAACTGGAAGCAGCAATGAGTGGGGAGGGATTTCATTTTAAATTGTGAAAAACGACTGCGTGTCGGTATGCTGATAGAAATGATTCTGTGTAGAGGGAAAATTAATGATTTAAGAGAGAGAGGAGACTTGCTGGACTTGCCCTTACATAGGAGAAAGGGAATGGGATGCAGAGTACAAATGAGAGGTGACAGATAGAGCACAGAGAGCTGGCCTGGGAGCGAGAGAGAGAAGGTGCAGAATTGGGGCACATGGCGGAGCCTGGAAGCTTTGGAAGATAGCTTGTGATTGTCAGCTTTCTCAGTGAAGTAGAAATCTTGGTCATCAGCTGAAATCGAGGAGGGGGGGATGTGGTGTTTAAGGAGAAAAGAGAAGGTGTGAAAGAGCTGTCTAGGAGCGTGGGACAGTGAACAGATGATGAAAATAGGATAGGATATTTTGGCAGAATTAGGGACCCATGAGTTCTGTTATCATGAATTTGGCTGTGCACAGGACACGAGGGTGGGATGGGGAAGAGTGGCCAAGGGAGAGGGGAAGTGAGATGGATGAGAGGGTTGAGGGCACACTGGGAGGGACTGTTGATAAAGTCAGACACTGGAATTTACGCTTGGTACAGAGGGAAGAGGGGCCATGAGGGTGAGAGGTAAAGTTGGTAAGTTCGATAGATTCCAGGTCCTGGTGGAGGTTTGCTGAAATAGGGGTCCTAGAGAAAGCAGGAAAGAGAGGAAATGGGAAAGAGAGAGGCTGATTGAAAGTGAGTTTATTGGGGTTGTGATTAATGGCGATGACAAGAGCTGCTCAGACGTTACCGTGCATGTACCTGCCCTGCGGTTCTGGTTCTGATGCGCATGTTGAGTCAGTAAGCCCCGGTGCACAGAGCCTGAGAGTCTGCTTTTCTATCAAGCTCCGGGGTGACACAGACGCTGTTGGTCCAGGGATCTCATTTGAAAGGCAGGGGTCTAGAGTGGTATTTTTCAACTCTGGCAGTAAATCACAGCCCCTTGGGGAGTCTTGACCAGTGAATCAGAGCTTCTCTGGGTTGGATTTAGAACTGAAGTAAATGTTCTCCAGGTTATGCTACGGTGAAGCCAGGATTGAAAACCTCTGGCCTAGAATGTGAGACTCTGAGTGAGAGTGATTCAGAGACCAAGATCATTGTAGGAGGGAGAGTCATGGAACTGAGGGCCAGAATGTGGAGAGTGTTATCCTTTGGTTATCAAAATCATCAGAAATTATCAAAGAATTTGTGCTGGATAAAATGACTGTGAGTCCAGAGGTCTGTCAACAACTACAAAAATATATAGGAATTGAGTAACATAATCAGATGGCATGAGATTTAAAGCAAAGGGTTTGGAGAGAAGGATCTGGAATAGACCGTGCAGGACAAGGAGGACACTGCCTAGAACCCCAGGCATGGTGGCATATCAGATTTGGGAAATCAAACATCCCCCATTTGAGAGGTCTCCAGAAGAAACCACAGCAGCATGAAAAGCTCGGTTTTAATTAGAGAAACATGACAACACAATCTAAACCGAGGTTGCAGTTTGGGGGATTTTGCTGCTGCGTTCTGGGGTGGCAGGGCAGGGTTTCCAGCTTTTGAAGGGTGGGAGGTGGGGATGTGCAGAGCGGGATGAGGATGCTGGTGCAGGAGGGGAGCCATGGCCTACAGTCCAGACCATGCTCCTTGTAGAGATGAGGTCTCAAAGTGGGTGTGGTGGCACAGCCGGGAGTACGAGAGTGGAGGGAATGGGGGTCTTGCGAGAAGCCACATTCCTTGGCCTCCCCCTTCATTCCGACAGCTGTTCTCTAGCAGAAGAACCCTTTGCTTCCTCAAACAAAGCATGCAGGTGAGCCCAGCGTGGAGGACAGATCAAAGCAGAGCCTCTCTCTGCTTTGTGGAAGCTGGAGGCAGGGGAAGAGGAAGGCGTGCTCCCCAGCCCTTCCGGAGCTCCTCAGAGGTCCTCACTGCTCCAATGCTGGCGAGAGACGCCCAAGGAAAATGCAGAGTCACATATAAGAAAGTAAAGATCTTAGACCCAATAATCGTGTAAGGCTTTTTCAATCTTTTGTCGGTGATGCAGATTGCTCTCCGTCTTCCTTGTAATAAACTCTTCAGATCAGTAAGTGGTTTGCAGTACCCCTTGGGAATCTCTTTATTCGTGTATGATCAGGATAACATCACTATTGGTAACTGGTATTACATGCATAGAAGAAACCGTAGTTCTGAACAGTTATGACTTAGGTCGGGTTCTCCAGAAGTGAGCCCTGAGGCAAAGGTGTGAATGCAAGTGGGTGTTATGGAGGCGCTCCCAGGAGAGCCCAGGAGGTGGGTGGAGCAAGCAGGAAGAGACAAGGAGAAGCCCAAAAAGAGTGTAAGCGCAGGCAACGTCTGCATGAGATGGCTTCAGCCGGATCCCTGCAGGGGAACTCTGGAGAGTAACAACTGGATTCTGACCCCATTGGACACAAGGCTTCGGTACCTGTGAGCAACAGTGAAGGAGGAAGTTGGCGGGAGCTGTGAACCCCTGGGCACTTCCAGGCACAAAGTCCAGGATCCTGAGGGGCGTCCTTCAGAGGAGAGTCCTTGAAAGAAAAGCAAACTGAGCACATGCACACGCGCACGCACGCACACACACACACAAATAGAAGGGATCCAAGACCAACTTGGGGGAGCAGGTGGAAAGCTTCCTTTAGAAGGGCAAAGTTAACCTAGGTAAAGATTAGATTGAAAAATTATCAATATCAGTGCGCAATTATCATCAAGTAGATTTCTAACTGTGAATTTTGCTACCTTCTCCCTTGCGCTTTTAGCAAGGTCATATTACTACACGCATAGGGCCAAATTTTCAGAAATCCGGGTCAAGTGAGTGTGAGTATCTGATCAGTTATACCCAAGCATGGCCCTGATTGAATGTGTTGTCTTTATTTGAAAACAAAATGCGTGTTTTAAAACTCCACTGTTTTAGGTGGATTCCGTTCTCTCTCTCATTTCCATTAATGTAAATACCAAGAATGTTTAGCTATTTTAAAATTTACATCATTACAAATAGTTGCTTTTATCTACATCCTCATGGGTTTATTTTGGGATGGTGGTTGGTTTTTGTTTTTCCTTTTAAGTTGTGGCCTCTCTTCTAAGGATTAGAGAAGCATCCTTTTAGAGTCCTGGCCTTAGATGTAATTTAGAGCTGTGCAGTGTCCAGCCCACTGACAGATTTAGAGATTAATTTCCAGACCTCTTGTGGTGCTAGAGAAGCTCCTTAAGATTTTGAAAATGGCAACACTATTGACTCCTTACTATTAAAGGTTACTTGTGTCCATATCCACACTAATGCAAAAGGAAAGTTTAAATGTGGTAAATATCAATGTTGTTTTGCTTTATGGAAAAACCTGTGCATAGAAAAAAAAAGAAGCAATTTACAGGACAAGAAATAGTTTATCTTCCATAAGGACAGCTTATACAGATATATCTCCTTCCTCTTATTCTGTAAGGATAATATTGCTGTTGCTAAATTGATATTTGTGTAGAAAAAAGTTCAATAGTTTTGAACAGTCTTGTCTGAGGTCCAGTTCCCCAGAAGTAAATTATGAGCCAAAAATTTGATGTTTGTGATGCACAAAAGGAGAGATTTAAGTATGACTTATATGCTATTTGGATTATATTGGGAGTTGGTAGAAACTTTTTCCCCCCAAGTATTTTCGCTTAGATGCATCTCCAAATACGTGTTTGCTCCATTTTAAAGTAAGTGCATTTTCAGGGAAATTTAATCCTTATGTTTCAGCAAGGCTACTCGTAAATCATCCAAATGTTGTTTTATTAGAGCTACACGATGTCTAAGATGCCTTTGAGCTTTTTTAATAGTCCTTATGTTCTTTTCTGAAAAGCAGTAGGTAAGTTGCCAAGAGTAAACAAATCAAATAGCAAAAGGTTTGAGTTCAGTTTGAAATGCTTAGCCTATTATTTTTGATTGGGTTCTGAACTTGGCAGTGCGCATTGCCTGTTCCCGCCTGCAGGGCAAAGTGAAAACAATTTGAGCTCTGTATTTCCCAATTGGTTCATTGACATTTGACAATAATGTAGTACAGACAGAATCAGCATGTTTGGCAGGTGAGTGATGCTTAACATGACCTCAGAAAGTTACTTCCTCCCGGTTTGTAGAAGTTCTTAACATGGAGCAATGTTATACATGTTGCAAAACACGAGTTAGGCCAGGCAGCCATCAAGAGGTCCATCCCGGGGATTGATCTGTTTCTCTGGTGCACCTTTAGGTGGAATGGTTGAAAAATGAAGACATAATTGACCCCGTTGAAGATGGGAATTTTTATATCACCATCGATCACAACCTAATCATCAAGCAGGCGCGCCTCTCAGACACCGCCAACTACACTTGTGTCGCCAAAAACATTGTTGCCAAGAGGAAAAGCACCACTGCGACTGTCATCGTCTACGGTGAGTTTTGGGTCTCAGTCTAGTTCACGTCAAACTGCAGTTTCTCGTTTTAATTGTAAGATATCAGGGGAGAGGCCCCTTCAATCCCCATTGCTGCTCTCTTCAGCTTCTCTCATGGACAGTGCGGTTTAACTGCTTCCTTGACACTTTCAGAGACACTAGACTTGGACGATCCTCGCCCTTTGGCAGGCAGCTTATAGGAAAGTGAAGGAAATCTACCTCAGTGCCGGGAGATGTTCCTGCCTCCCTAAGCCTTCCCCGCTTTGGACCCGGGACTGCGGAGTCATACAGTGAGTTTGGAGATGAAGATGCTTAAAGCCACCTGCTGCTCTTTGTGTGGGCCTTGGCTCAGTCCCGTGATTGCACAGCCTCAGATGAACTGGAGCTGACGTGTTCCCCCAACACATCAGAGCAACTTTGACTTCCTGGAGCTTGCTTTACATGCTCCATCAAGGGCGTTCAGAAGGAAGACAGGCGCTGCCGTCACCAGGTGGCCCTAATCCTAACTGGGTTCAACATAATGACTTCTTCATGAAGCTTCCCTCCCACTCTCTGGCCTTTCCTAATCCCTCTCATCTCTAAGCCTATCCTTTCTCCAGAAGTACTGAACAATTTCACACCCAGTTTTGCTGTAGCACATGACGCTTGTATCTCCCTGTAGGGTTTAGCCCTCTGGTTTTATAATCATTTCACAAGCAGTTCCCTTTCCCCAGCTAAGCTTTAAGCTCCTTTGTAGACTAAGAGACAGCTCTGCATATTTATGTCTTTCTCAAGTATTAGACACATAGTAGGTCCTCATTTCTTGATGAGTCATTGTCTCAGAGGAAACTGAACCACACTGGGTGGTATTGAGGTTATGCCACCTCCTGAATGTTACGGGTGCCACTTAGACTATAAGGAAGCTTTTCATGGCTGCTTCAGCGTGAAACAACACTCCAGCGCCTTAGTGTCTGGATAACTATGAAGGAGGGACAGCCAGTGACAAGTATCCGGCTCATGGTACTTACTTCCTGCAGATAGCATCTTCTGGATGGATGTGTCCTCGTGCTGCAGGGAGTTATGAGTACAGAAACTACTGTCATGTTCCAAAGACTGAATGTTGTGAGGCTTTAAAACTGTCATTTTCATCACAAGACAGATGCATACTATTTTTTTTTATCCTGTGAATACTCTGAGGTTTAATTTCCTAGTCAAGATAACGGCTATGTTGAATTATAAGCAATTGCCTTTCTTAAGTGACAATGAAATGTGTCCTACATTTTGTCTTTTCTAAACCGTCTGAATGACTAATTAACAGCATTGGAAATGCAAAAGAGAAATGGCGCACATTACAGCGTGTACCAATCACAAATAACTAATGAAGGCAGATTCTATATAGATGTTTAATATACATGCAAATCTCTTTTTCTATGTATAGCATGTTTCAGTATCCATAAATACAAGCCAAACGTTGTCTTTAGGATCAGACACGAGTCACTTCAGCGTTTGAAGTTCAGGAAACAGCATGGGACCCGGGCTCAGGAGTCTTGTGCTCTCAGACCGGTTCTACCCCTAACTGACCTTCAGTTGGTCACTTAACCAGGATGCTTGGAGCCCTTGTCTCCTTCTCTGTAAAATGAGGGAATAAGCCTAGGATCTTCAAAGGCCTTTCCTTCTGTAAAAGTTTATGATTATTCACTTCTCATTAAACTCCTAGAAGAGCAGCATACATATATCATAACCCAAAATATCAGCTTGCCAGTATGCTGGTAAGCAATTTATACTGACGATTCCCCAGCATTTGGAGTTTTGTCAAGTCGAGCAGGTTAAGTTGCTTTTTGGAACACTGACTGAAATTCTACCCATCAACCATCTGCTTGTCCTTTTCATGGCCCCATAAAATATGTTGTCCAAGGCTTATAGGTTGGGCTCACCAGAAGTCCACAGAAAACATATACATATAATCAGTATTTTATCTTTGAGTCTATATTTATTTTTGTTAGTATAATTTTTAGATGGCAAATATATATCCATTATAGAAAATTTGGGAAACACAGAAAAGGTCAAAGAAGAAAATACCTATAATCTTGTCATCTTGCCATCCAGAGGTAGCTTCAAAAAAGACTGATATGTATACTCCTGGTATTTTCTATGCATAGATAGAATTTTAAAATAAAGGATGGATATAAATATATTTTTTCACTTAAAGCATAATGTTGAAATATTCGTGTGTTATTAAATAGACTTCTACAGCACCATGTTTAATGGCTGCCTAGGAGTCAATCACAGGAACGTACATGGTTTACTTTACCATTTTCCTATTGTTGAACATTACAATTGTTTTCAGTTGTTTATCTTTATGTAAAAAATAACTCTGTTGTGAAAAATGCTTTGTCTGTGTCTGTAAATATAACACCTTCATGATTATTCCCTATGGCATAGGTTTCTAGAAAAGGCGGTGCTGGGCGTGTGATGTGTGCGTACAGGATGTGTATAGCTAACACTCTTCCTTTCTTTCAGGAGAGGGGTGCACATACTAGTTATGTCACGTTTTAATTGCCAGCAAATAATTTTTGTTAGATATTGCTTAATTACAATAATTTCATAGACTCTTATTATTGAAGTGCTGAAATATATCAGAGTATTTTCTAGAGCAAGATCTCCAGAGGTAAATAGTGAACATTGTATTAAAGTATAGATTTTATAATCACGCCCACACTGACAGCTCCTTCAAACACCATAATTAGCCTCTATCCACAAAACTGATATCCATTTCAATGACGTCCACTCATCACCAGTTTGATCAAATAGCTACTCAGTTAAAAATCCAGCAATGTAAGACTTTATTTTTTAACCAGGTTCACTGATTAGTTACTGAAACTGACTAAAAATCTTGAAAAGGTTGCGAAGTTTACGTATGCTAAAGAAAAATAATCAATCATCTGTTATTAAGAAAATGCTAAATGATTTTATCCAGTTCTCAGGCTTCAGATCCACTTGCAGCCTTGGCATATAGAATGTAAACATTTATTATTTGAGATAAGCTGTCAGAAGTAATTTTTGGAGCTTAACTAGGTAAGGAGGTGTATTTTTTTTTGAAAGAACACTAGCCAAGGAAACAGCAACAGTCTTCTTTACTTTTCTGAGTAGGTGAGTAAATGTTGGTAATTCATTTTATTTATCTGTGTGCTTAGATTCGTCAGGTCTGCAACAAAACTTTGAATGAAATGATGTCCAAGGTCTCTTCTAGCTTTGAAGTTTTAGGTGGTCACTTGGGAGATGACTTCTTGTTTAGGTGTTGTGTGTGGTTTGTGCGTCTGTGTGTGCATGCACATATGTTTAATCGACACTTTATTATTTACCTCCTTCCAGTGAATGGTGGCTGGTCCACCTGGACAGAGTGGTCTGTGTGTAATAGCCGCTGTGGACGAGGGTATCAGAAACGCACAAGGACCTGCACCAACCCAGCACCTCTCAATGGGGGTGCCTTCTGTGAAGGGCAGAGTGTGCAGAAAATAGCCTGTACCACGTTGTGCCCAGGTAAATAAGCCAGTGCTCTCGTTCCAGATATCTCCACCCATTCTAGACATGTGCTTCAGGGGATATATACAAAGCCTTATTCTTGACCCGACTCTGTGACAAACATTATTTAAATCCATCATACCGTTCAATGTCTACATGGCTGGGAAATCAAGTATTTTCCCCTAAAAGAGTACTTAACTTTATTACCCAAACATGCAGAATAGTATAAAACAGGAGATTAAACACTTATGAATTTAATCCCTCTCTGTTACTCGACAAAACTGCCAGAGCCAAGATGTCAGCTTCTATAATTCCAGGGATCTGAGCAGCATCGAAAGCCACACATTTTGGGAACAACAATCTTTGATCTTCAGAAAGCCATGGAAATTAATTGGAACTGAAATTTAGAAAATATTTTAGACTGAAATATTTGATATTTGGTGTCAGTTTCTGGGCAAGGGCAAATAAAACATTTGGAATGAATTAAGAGAAGTCTAAACTTTGTTACACAGGAGCGAATGGATTTTGAAAATACGCAGCAGTCAGCTCTTTACTATCTGCACATGTGGCTCACCTGTTTTGTGAGTTGTTTGCAGTGGTACCTACAGCAAGATTGTATCCCTCTGCCTCTGCCTGTCTTTCTGTGCTATTGTCTCCAGCTCTTATCCTTAGGTAAACGGAAGTTAATATTTGCCAACACCAAAACTAAAACCCACTAAAATGCCTAATTATACAATATATTGAAAAGTTAAGCAACAATTATTTTGACATAATCCATGAGTTTAGTGCACTCTGTTGGAATAGCTATTATATTGTCACTTTCATTATTTAAATATACAGTCTTCTTACTTCCCTCTCTTTTGCCTTTGTCCAGTTCATCTTTTAACAAAACCTTTCTCAGAGAAGGGTTGGAGAAATGAACTGGAGAGAAAGATATAATCTATGTTTTATATTCCAGTGTTGATTTCCAAATATCAAAACAGTATCCCACATTGAACCCCTTGAGAGCTTTTATTTACGGAATAAATTTTGACTAGGCTTAGAATTTCAGTACTTTATCTCATACTGTCCTATATTTTATCTAGGTGTTGTCTCCCACAATTAAAAATTCACTGAGCATTTTGAGTTGAAATGGAAATGTGCGTGTGTGTGTGTGTACTTTGGCATGGTCTAGGTCAAAGCAAATGCCTTTTCTCCAAATAGCTGGGAGTTGCTTATGTAGCCAACTCTGTATGATTGAAATATTAATGCTTTCATCATTTTTTCATGTGGCCATGTTTATATCTCTATACGTATTATTCATAATATATTTACACAATAATTTAATATGAAATCATATAGATTTCTCCAACTGTAGACTGAGTTGATATAATTTTTGTCAATATCCAGGTATAAGATGTTATGTATATTAGATGTTCAATAAATGATGTTCACATTGCTTTACATTGAATTCTAGATAATCATAATTATTTACATATTTCAGGGAAAATTTTTAAAATTTAAGTCTTATTTCAATATTTTTATCCTATTTATGTAAGAACCTTTAAAGAATGCATTTTAAAGTATGACCTTAGTGAAATTTACTATATATTTTTTTCAACTTAGGACTTAAGTTGTATGTTTTTAAAATAAGGTATCTCAGCTCATTATCATTGAAATTACTGACAAGGCAGCCACCAAAATTGGGAAGAAAATGAGTCAATTCTAAATGACTGAATCACAGCAAAAAATTAGGAATATGCCTAAATACTATTTTTAAAATAAAAATAAAAATGTATACATCATCAAATAATGGAATGGAATCATGAAACAGTAAATTGAAAATAATATAGTCTTTTCAAGAAGGTATTGTGGAAGACCTCAGCAGAATCAAGTAGCCTGGATGAAAATAAAATAAAAAGAATATATAGGACATACATAGGTGATAGATGGATAGATAGATAGATAGATGGATAAATGGGTGGATGGATGGATGGGTGGATGGATGGATGAATGGATAGATGGGTGGATGAGTGGGTGGGTAAATAGATTTCTTTCTCATTCTACCAACTTCTGCTCCTTACCCCCACACAGGTTTACTTGCTCTGCCCACATGACACTATGCACAAAGGAATTATGGATCCAAAAAGAGGCCCCCTAATTTTCAATAGAAAATTCAGAAGTTTCCCATTTAATAGAAAAAGGGGCACCACCATGACTTACTTTTAGGTAGCTCCTGGTGACAGCTTTGGTTTCTGTGTGTCTCATTAAGCTTCCTTTGTTGGTCAGTGAGGAACCGGGTACACACCTAGTGAGGAAAGTTCGCAGAGCCCAGACAATGTATGTAGAGCATGCTCTACTTTCAGCAGTTGAAATGAATGCAGGATTCCTCAGTGGGGCATTTTCTTCAGTTTTTTGTCTTGTTTTATTTATACTTGAGCTCTGCTGCCCTCTGCCCTCAAGAAGCTCCTCGCTTTGACCTGATGCTGGGTTTTTTTGTGACAGTGGATGGCAGGTGGACCTCATGGAGCAAGTGGTCTACTTGTGGGACCGAGTGCACACACTGGCGCAGGAGGGAGTGTACAGCACCCGCCCCCAAGAACGGAGGCAAGGACTGCGACGGCCTTGTATTGCAATCCAAGAACTGCACGGATGGCCTTTGCATGCAGAGTAAGTCTATTTGAGCAAACGACAGACACTGGGGAGGCCTGAGATTTAACCATTTGGATTTCTTTGAAGGAAATATTAGAAATTAAAAATTCTTTGAACAACAAAAAATGCTATAATATACCTATACTAATATCCTAGCTTTCTCTCTAAATTGAAAAAGTTAATCTCCCAGGAAGCAAAATGAATAATAACTGTGTCCAGTTACCAAATGACACACACAGTGTTGCTTTCCCATAAGCAAAGAGTGATTTAGTCATTTCCGTGGATGGGCTGTCGTTCTTCCCCGACCAAGAAACCAGTACTCAGGTTTATTAGAGCACAAAAGAGCAGCCTACACTCCTCACAGAGTCGCATGACTTCCAAAAAGTAAGGTATTTATTCCTAATTCATGGCCATTACCAAACAAATGCCCATGGAACATAAAACGTATATAAGAACAGGAAGCATTTCCATGGTAGATTTACCAATTTACAAGTGTTTAGTGGGAACATCTTCACAACTCCTTGAAAATGCTGGGTTTGTGTTAATTACGTTTATTTAAAGGAAATAGTGTTAATAAAAATAAGTTTTAAAAATGAGGGTAGAAGATTGGCTCATGAATATAATGGGTGCTATAAGCTACATATTCCCCATTTTTCATTGCTTTGTTCCCTAGATTTTCTTAATGAGATAGCAGTTTGATTTCCACACTTGTGAACTATTACCCCTATATTGAGGAGCCCTTCGGTGTACACAAATTTACCATCTCTTTCATGACGAGGAATTAAGGCACTAAGAATTGCTCAGAAATCACACCTGTGCAGATGGATGGATGAACGATGTGCTGTCTTTGGATCTTAACTAATGGTGGCCAAGAGTTGACATCTTAGAACACATTACAAATTGCTTTTGGAATACAAGCAACCAAATATATTTGTGTAGAAGTATTTGTATTTGCCATTTAGGAACAAAATATTTTATTTTCACCACATTTATGAAATTCTCTTTACCTTCTAGAGTGTATACACACAGACCTTTAAAAAGAAACCTTGCTTCAAATGCAATTATGTTACTGACAGAATAAAAATCCATAGGCCTCTTATTTTTCTGTGCAAGGTACGTTGCATTCTTTGAGAAGGGCTGCTGCTGCGTGTAAAGCACAGCTTCTGAGAACTGCCACTGTGCATCTCACTAAGTTTGTTCCGGAAACGCAGGAAGGAAAAGAACACAGCTCTTTTACTAACCATTTGTTCCGCGATACAAGCTTTGTTCCTCCAGGCGTGAGTTTGAGTTGAGGATTAAAACAAAAACATTCCCCACACAAGTTATTCTTTTTATAATTTGGTATTCTTCCTTTGGTGGTGAACAAATTGATTCATGTGATTGATAAATAACAATCTTTGAAGTTTCTCTCTCTCTCTTTCTCCCTCTCTCAATATTATGTTTCAACGTTGGGTGATTTATTGCCTGCTGCTTCTATTATGCATGTTTAAAAATTTCCAAAGCAAGCTATTCAACAAGGACTACGATCCTACAAGATGCAACATTGGGTCTTTCATTACTTACACAAAATGACACATTCTAGATTATGACATCTGTCAAACACAAACATGAAATATTCAAATTAAGACTTTCATAGCATCCCCTAAGCATCTGGCTTATTTCTAACAGCATTAATAGAATTTTTTCTTATGATTGGCTATTTGCCAATAATGATGGTTTGAACTGTGTGTGTAAATAAGGAAGGGGAATGAGGCTACAAAGAGGGGAGTTTTGTTATTCCTTTTTGTTTGTTTATTTTTTATCAAGTCTCTTGTTAGACTGAAACATTTGGGTGTTTGGATTAAAATCAGTCAGTTAAAAAGCTATTTCCTTTTACAATTTTGGTTTGCTACAGTAACAGCCCCTACTAAGTCAATAAACTCTTTTATCTGCCCTCCTATATCTAATCTAGTGCAAGACAGAATTGTAGTCTGTACTACTATTGATTTCCTCAGTGATAAAAACCACAGAGATATTGCTGTGCTGTGTAATTATAGTATTTTACAGTGAAAGCTATAGTCTCTGTTTACCAGCAAGCTGGGTGTTTCTGGCATAGTGTTGCTGCCAAAGTCTTGCAAAGAAATAGTATTGCTCTTGGCCCTTACTTTGGAGAACAAAAGGCTTTCCAGTAGTCAAAGTACCAAGCTTGCGAGAGGGACAAGGCCTGTATTAAGGAAAAGAATGGGAGTAGAAAAGACACCTGGAAAGTTGCAATCAACACTTAGGCATTATCATTTAATGTTTATTTACTTTAGGAGAGTTGGTGCCTTCAATGTATTAGTAAATAGTTCAAAAATAAACAGTTCATCAATATTGCAATATTATCTCAAAATAAGCTATTCTACTTACCATTGAAACAGGTATGCAATATCAACTCCGAATCTACTCAAAATTATCTACAAATGATTCTGTTATAAATGTAGATACACTGCTAGGTAGGAGAAATTCAGAGTTCATAATGGATGTCACTAGAATGCAGAGTTACCTAGATACTATGGTGTAGTATGTTTTAAAAGCCAAAAGGGTACTTAAGAACAATATAATGTGAAATATTCAGAAAATATGACTGTCAATGCTTATTCACTAATTTGTTCAAAACAATCATATTCAGATACATCTCTTCCTTAACCACCTCCCTCATTACAACCACCTTAGACTCAAAATATGTAGAAATCTTGGATAAAATATTAAAACTTAAAAGACATGCACACTCATATGGAGTGTGTGTGTGAGGGAGAGAGAATCAAGTTCGAAAGAAAGATGATAGAGAGATCCTCAAATGCAAGAGATGAAGTAGAAACTCAAATCTAGAAAGGTAACTTGTGAATGGACCCCAGAATAACCAAGAGGGACATTGGACATGGATGTAGGTCCTAGGGCTTGGGAGTTAGGGTTTCAGTTTTGGCACGGACGCAGAAACCACACATGTGAGAGAGCCTGAGGCTGAGAGTTGAAAACAAGAACCCTGAATATAGCTGGCTATATTCATAAATGGCTAGCCCCACCATGAAAAATAACTAGAAAATTTTTACACACCCGGAGTAAGCCTAGAGAAGCCAAAGGAAAATTCATGGTAGAGAAAAGAAAAATGAAGTCCTCATTTAAATAAAAGCTATAATAAAACCACAATCATACACCCAGCTCTGGTATGGAGTCTAAAATAAAGTATAGGGAGCAAAAAACAAAAGATGCATAATTTACATAATTGGTGAAACCTCTGGGGAACCAGCAGAAGCAAACAGCAAGACATTCTCTGGAGTTCTTTCCACAACCCAAGTGCATTGGTCTATGATAAAAATAGCCCACTCCTGAAAATGAGTTTACAGTACTAATTTTCATATCACCCAAGGGAACAGTCTGCTGTAAGGGAGAGTCAGCAACCTAATAAACAGGTGAGTTAGTACTCTCATAACATGGCCTCATAGAGCAATCTGAATGAGCCTATGAAACAAATAAGAAGAAGACCAACAGTATTTTTAAGAGGAATGTAAGGACAAGTGAAAGAATAGAATACTGTACAAAGGACAGATAGATTTGGGAAAACATCAAATAGAATATCTATAATTGTAAACATGGTGATTGAAAGTTAAAACTCAATGGAAGATTAAAACTCAGATCAGATCAGAGACAACTTTAGATAAAGCTGAAGAGAACATTAGTAAACTGGAATATAGATGTCATGAAACTTCTCAGAATACAAGAAAGAAAGAAAAAGCGAGTGATTGTATAAAAGGGAAATGAAAACACATGGAAGATAGAATGAGAAAAATCGTTTATTACTAAAGAGGGAAAAATTAAAAAGATTTTCAGACAATCAAGATACAGAGGGCTTACTACTCAAAAACTCTCACTGAGTAAAGTTCTAAAGAAAATTGATTCTTTTATAAAAAGGGAGACTAATTAATTAAGAGGAAGTTGAAAATAAGATGGAACTAAATTATAGATAATATTAACAAAGAGTATGCGAAGGTGTGATCTAAGTTAAAATTTTCTAATTTGCATGTATTGTTCAGGAAAAGAACAGTAATAATATTTGCACAAGACTTTACTGATTCAAGTGGTCCAGTTAAAATGTTAACACTGACTACACACATAAAAGTTAAATGCATAAATTCAAAATAAGATTTTTAAGGGCAAGAAAGGAGCAAAAAAGAAATAAGAAAAATGTGGTAAATGAAAACAATGAATAAGGTGGTATATTTCAGGGATCAGCATATATCAGGGATAATAATGTAATGAATTAAATTTACCTGTTAAGGGAAATTCAAAATTCTAGGAAAAAAATCCAAGTTTATACTGATTATGAGAGACATACTTAAATCATAACTATAGAGAAAGATTGAAAGTTGAGTTATATAAGTTAACTATGTAACTTGCAATATCGTTCAGTCTTTATTTAAAAATGTCCAATTAATGGCTTTGACTGTCTGATTAAGACATTCTTAATTCAATCCCATTTCTCATTATGCCTAAGTAACACATGTTAGAGATTGTTTTTACTTATAGTTTTAATTTAGATTTTTGTTTTACTTAGACTTTATAGTTTTTGGAATGTTTCATTTTTCATTGAAGAATTAACCAGAAGTTTTCTAAATTGTTTACCAGGCTGTTGGTTGTCTGTGTAAGACATCTTAGAAATCTAGGTATTATCTCAGTGTCAATTGAAATTGTTAATCAAAAGCCTTTGAGGGTTACTAAGAAAATTATTCAATATTGTAAATATATGATAATGCTAAATGTTAGTGAATATACAGTAAAGTAGAATCTTTTGTATCTTGCTAATGGGAATACAAATTTTTACAATTATTTGGGGAAGTGATTTGACAATATGAGTTAAGAGCTTTAAAATTGTTCACACCCTTTAACCCAGTAATCCTACTTCAATGAATAAATTTTGAGTAATTATTATAAATACCCAAAAGGATCTGTGACAAATATGTTCACATTCTTTGTATTTTATTGTAAAAACTTCAAAATCC